ATGTTTCCTGACAATATAAACTCTTCAAACGCTATCGCTTTGGTGTTTTTACGAAAACAGAACATATTTTTGCACGGGACGATTTCTCGAAGACGAAGTATGGTCCATTACACCAAGAAACACTGATATATAATTGCCAAACAGCTAGACCTTGGTTTAACGTAGACATCTCAAGGAAAAACTGCATTCTTTTATGATATTTGTGGCGGATTTTCCTTGTTTTCTTGTTTATTTTTCACAGTTTTCTAGTGTTTTGAATAAAATTCCCGCTGTCACAGTGATATGAGTATCCCCGTGTTTTCTGTATCCCCTACTAATATCACTAGGGATATGTGTATCCCCATGCTCACCTCACTAGGGATATGTGTATCCCCGGCAATATGGCGGTCGTGTTCTGCGTATGCCTAAAGAACCACCCTACATTCCCACATACAAATATCCCTAACATTTCGCGGGAAATAAAACATGCAGAACTGCACATGCATGCAAGCTTGAAAATAACACTCTAAATAGTGTGTTGGATTGTGTTTCGAACAAGACTAATACCAAAAAGATATGTTGAAAGGAGCCGAAGTTATATTCGGCGAAAGGTACGGCTTAGTGATGCATTGTTTACATTCTTCGAGTTTATTGTATATAGTATAGTATTTACATTGTTCAAGTATGCCTAGTGGATTTTTTTGGTGGTACTTTCGTATTTTTACTGCAAATACTCGCGGAGTTCTGTAATATTTAAACTTCCTGTCATATACGTCGGAAATCAAGTAATACGGAGCCATAGTAATTCTACACTATGTTCTACACCAATTTATGCGACGCGAACATGCTATCTTACAATTAACATAAGCACAATCACATACACATTTACTGCAGCATTTAATAACTGTAAAAACGTAAATACTTAATACCGGAAAATAAAGGCACAGATAAATGACTTTCCTCCTATACTCATATTTTGAATATTGCATCCTTTCGCTTCTAGTGTTGTAGGTATCCCTACCAGGGGTACTTTTATCCCTAGGGATATTAGTGTGGGGATACACAAAACACGGGGACACTCATATCACTGTGACACGCCTTTTGCAAAATACGAGTCCACAATCATGTTGAAAATGTGCGTCAGCAGTCGTTACTCGCTGCTTACTTTATGTAATTTTGTGTTTAAACGCCCCACGCAAACCCCACGCACAATTAACTACGTGATTAGTTAACTATCCGACTAACTACGTTTTGTGCAACGCAGTTAAGTCATGTAGTTAACTAATTACAGTTAAGGATTTAACTACAGTGATTAACGTTAACTACAGTTAGCGCTAATTACGTTTTTATACAACCGGCCCCTGGATTTTAAGCTGGATTATTCTTCAAATAATGGGCATTAATACCAATGCCAATGAAAGGTCTTTATAAGATTTATAACGTTTACTGCAATATATGAAATATGACTGAAATAATTTAGTCTAGTGCATATATCGTCCTAGATATTCAAGTTGTACCGCACACGCACACCGAGGAGTCTTGGCGTGTGCATGATAACAGTATACTGTGGCTGTCCTTCGACATACAGGGTGTCCCCAAAAAAGTGACACTATACATGTAGAAATTATCTCATTGTTCTTAAGCCGCTCTTAAACGCGCGTGATTACACGCCTGGGAATTTAATGAACTTGTATTTACATTTAAGCATTTTAAAACGTTTTCGCTTTGTCCAAATATTTTAACGCCCGAGTCAAGCAAAACGATTACACTAATAAACGGTTTGCTTTTTTATTTTAAATTCCAGAAGAAGAAGTTTATGCACCTGTGGAATCAACTTAGTGCTAGGGCATTCAAATTATAACAATAGGATAATTTCTATAGTGTCACTTCTTTTTGGGACACCCTGTACACAGTTGGCGATGTTCAGTATTTCAGTTGGGAAGTCAAAGGATCCCGTTATAAAATAAATCCTTTGTTTTGAATATTGGGCTGGATACATTTCAACTATAAACAACCATATCATATCGTTCGTTTATAAATACCGTTTGATCGATCAGTTGGTGTAGAAGATATCAGATAATATTATGTTATTCAGTATATTACTTTCCTAATAAACCCATGGAAATATTAACCAACCAACCAATGTTGACGGCTGTGTTTTTTTCTGAGAACAATCAAATACATAAGAAAATTTGGAATTAATTTCCGTCGTCTAGGACCAAGGGATAAACTATAGCGATATAACGGGTGCATGCATGGGTTTAACTCAGACTAGATTGTTCATGCAAGTGCAGTATTCAAATGAAGGGGTTTTTGTCTTCAAAGAATTAATACAGAACAAATTTTCTACAATACCCGGATAGATTGTTAATAGCAATTCAGTTAGTAACCCGTCGTCGGAAAGCGTTTACTATCTTCAATCCTTCTCGACGCAGAATTTAGTTTCTCCAGAAAAATAACACACAGTTGAATGTCGAGTCTGACCACAGACTAAATGACAAGAATTGCCTCTCAGACAACGATTCTCTTGGTGCTAAACGTGAAGCTTCATATGTAATGTACGGGCAGAAACAACAGAAAAAACAGCCAACTGCCAAAGAACACGTAGAAATACTTTTGAGATTTAAGGTTCGTGTCTTCCTATTTTCTTCCATCGCTGTAGTTGTAGCAACCCTTTCGTCTTCGCATTATGACTTGGCGCCGATTATAAAATTTTGTAATTTTGAATAAATGAACAAGAATAACAGGAATGAAATAGATACACATGCAAAAAATGTCGACAATTGTTTCCAAATTCAAATATACCAATGGCGACAGACCGACTACTATAACCGTCCAAAATATCTGAAAACATAGAAGCCTTATTTTTGTGACTGATGCATGATGGAAAAATGGACACGTCAGGGCTAGGAATCGTTCAACATTCAGTGTAATTATAAAAAGTGCAGACATCGAGGAGCCATATAAAACAAGAGATATATAGTTATATACAGTAGTACCTTGGCATGTGCTTGCGTATCATATCAATCAGTATCAATTCAAAATTGTTAAGAATACAAATTTACAATTACATGTATCGAAAGGGCTTACAGTAGATCAATAGGATTATGACGCTTCACAGCACACCATGCATATTTTGCATTTTCAGTGTTAATCCTTCAAAACTCATTGTTAAAAAATAATCACCGCGGTGGTTATGGTAATTATTGGTATTGTCAAAACTTGCTTTTTTTGGGGGGGGGGGGTGAAATTTCCCCCAAAAAAATTCGTGCAATGAAAAATGCCTTGGAAAAAAATTTGTGCAGTCATTACGTCAGAGAAAACAAATTTCGTGCAGGCAAACAGCAAAGTACAAATAGTCTTGAAAAAAAAATTCGTGCAGAGGTTAAATGCATTAAAAAAAATTCCTGCGGAGACATGAGACTGAAAAAAAATTCGTACCGCAAAATTTTTATATCGTAACCCCCCCCCCGGGATTTCTAATGGTCCGCCTCTAAATAAACTTGTCTCTATACCGATGAATTTTCACAAAATTATTAATTGACAATGGTTGAAAATAATCAGTGAATTGGTTAGGTAATTCTTATATATTTCAGAACCATCCTCAGAGATAGGAAAACTAGTTTCATATTAATCTGACACTGCAATCGAGCAACGAAAAATTCGTTGGCTCGAGCGGGATTTGAACTCGCA